AGCAGCTGTTCCCTCCTGACAATATGTCCAAAGTTTGAGAGGCGAAGCTTAGCCATCCTGGCCTCCAAGGAGCACTCTGGCTGCACTTCTTCCAAAATAGATCTGTTGGTTCTTTTGGTAGTCCACGGCACTTTTAGTATTCTCCTCCAACATCTCTAGTTATGTTTAAATCCCTGTAAAGCCTGTTAGAATGCTATGGGAACTTGCTGGACAAAGCCTGAGAGCTGTAGCCACTGGATACAGAATGTTGGCCTTGTTGTGTGTAGCTGTGAGCTCTGGGTGAGGCCTTCACTGTCAACCAGGTCAGGACTTTGGGCATGTGCAGGCACTGGGCAGAGTCAAGTGTGGCTGGGTGGAGGTAGGAGATGGAGAAAAGTGGCTCAGGCCCCACTAGTCAGGGACTGGAATTGTAGCTGTTGATGGTGGTCCTTTTGGCTGCTGCCCTATTGGTGTGGCTTCTTGATCATGTGCAGCTGCTGTATATCTGCTGAGTGGTTGAATGAAGCCAGGAGGAAGGGAAGGAGACAAACAGAGAAGGAAGTGCTGTGCTGGGGAGGATTGGGATGCACTCTGGAACCCTGCCACTTGTTCACTCTGAAATCTTTGGAATCTTTAAAACCTTTAGGGGAAAATAAATAACAGGAGAATTTGTTTGCCTTTAAAAATAATCACAAAATAAAACTTTATGGGACCATGAATTTGTATGTGGTTGTATGATGCCATAATAGATGTTACGTGGCATGTAGTCATACACACACACACACACATAGGTTCAATAAATTGTGATATATATATATATGGCTCACAGTCTGCTGTCAGTAAATAGTTTTTACTATTCAAAGGAACAATGTTCCTACAAAGATTTACATGCAAGTTCAACTTTGTTAGATAATGTTTGATTAGTTTACAGAGTAGTCATTTCAGTTTGCAGCTGTACCAACTGGTTTGTTTTAAACACCCCCCCCCCCAACCTTGTTTTTGTTTTTTCTTTTAAAAAATAAGTTTGTTTAATCAGAATTGGTAATGTGTTAAATATTGTCGTTAATAATTTATCTCTGTGTCCTGGTGTGGTGCTGCTAACATCAAGGTCATAGTTCAAACCCACTATTAGCTCCTTGGAAACCCTATGATGTTGTTGTTAAGTGCTGTTGTGCCTGTACACTATGAGTTGGAACTGACTTGATGGCACTAGACAGCAACAACAACACATTGTGAGCTTCTATACTAAGACCTACTAAAAAGGAGGAAAGGCAGATGACTTCTCAATGTTTAGCCACTAAAACCTACTGAATAGCAGTTAATGTTGTCAGATAGCATCAGAGTAATGAATATTGAAACATGATGAAGAGTACCAGAATATTGTCAGATATAGGGTTGGATTTGAGTACCTCAGGTTGGAAGGAACTTGGAATACAATTGGGGAAGAACTGCCTTCTCAAAGTTGAGTTGATAATGATGACACCAATGAATAAAGCCTTTGGGACCTTCACTAGTTTATGGGACACACCTCAAATTGAGGAGAAACAGCTGTTAAACATTTGTTAGTAATTGGAACATGGAATGTAAGAAGTATGAATCTAGGAAAATTGGAAGTTATCAAAATTGAACACATGAAGATTAATAGCCTAGGAATTAGTGAGTGGAAATGGACTGACAGTGACCATGTTGAATCTGACAGTGATATGGTTTACTATGCCAGGAATGAAAATTAAAGAGGAAAGGTGTCACATTCATCATCAAAAAGAACATTTCGGGATTTGTCTTGAAGTATAATGCTGTCTGTGATAGGGTAATATGGTATGGTGCTGTGGGATAATGCACTGGATTGCAAGGTTGATTTGCACCTGGAGCTTACCAGCAGTTTCTTGGAAACCCAGGGTCACTATGTGTCAGAACCGACTTGATGACAAGCAGCAACATAAAGAATAAAAGTTAATGCCAATATTATTAAAATTTACGCATGAACCACTAGCCAGTGTTGAGAAAATGGAGGAATTTCTTCAGTCTGACATTGATGAAACATACAATTAAGATGTGTTGATAATTACCCGTGATTGGAATGCAAAGTTTGAAAACAATGAGGAGGGTTCAGTTGTTGGAAAATAGGGCCTTAGGGATAGAAATGGAGCTGTAGATCACACGGTAGAATTTTGCAAGACCAATGACTTTTTCATTGCAAATACCTTTATTTAAACAACATAAAACATGAGTATACACATGGACCTCACCAGATGAAATACTCAGAAATCAAATTGACTAAATCTGAAAAGAAACAGTGGAAAAGCTTCATATCATCAGCAAAGACAAGTCTAGGGGCAGGCTGTGGAACAGATCATCAACTGTTCATATGCAATCTTAGGCTAAAGCTAACAAAAATGAAAACAAGTCCACGAGAGCCAAATTTTGACTTTGAACATATCCACCTGGATTTAGGGATCATCTCAATAACATATTTGATGTATTAGACACAAATGGCCGAAGACTATAGGAATTGTGGGATGGCATCAAGACCACCATACAGGAAGAAAACAAAAGGTCATTAAGAATATAAGAAACAAGGAAAAGACCAAAATAGATATCAGAAGAGAGCTGAAACTTGTTCACCATTGAAGAGATGGGAAAGCAGATGGAAGAAATGAGGAGGTAGACGAGTTGAATAGAAAATTTCAAAGGGCAGCTCAAGATGACATAGTCAAGTGTTACAGTAAAATGTACAAAGACCTGGAGTTAGAAAACCAAAAGGGAAGAACACCCCCCAAATTTCTCAAGCTGAAACAATTGAAGATAAAATTTAAGCCTTGACTTGCAATATTGAAGGATTCTATTGGCAGAATATTGAATGATGCAGAAGGTATCAAAAGAAGATGGATGGAGAGATGGACGATGTTCAACCATTTCAAGAGATAGCATATGATCAAGAGTCAGTGGTACTGACGGATGAAGTCCAAGGTACATGGAAGGCATTGACAAAGAGCAAGCCTTCCAGAATTGATGGAATGCAATTGAAATCTTCAGTTTTCAGTTACTGTTGTCCGATGAATAATTTCTAGAGCACAGTGTTGTATTTAGAGGGCAGAAACAAGTAGGAGAAAATGTATCTGTGCCATCTTGTTCCAGAACAGAAGCCCTTTTTTGGTGTCATTTGAACATTTCATTTTTGCTTTACTAATCCTAAAGAAAGACTCTCAGACAGACTTTTCTGCCTTGGTGATCCAGCAGCAGGCAGGACTAGTGGTGCCCACACCCTCTCCCACAAAGCTTGAGCAGCGTCATAGTTAGTAGCCTAGTCACAGCTCATGGAATTGAAACCCCACTGCCAGCTTTCAGGGTGCTTTCGGTGGCATCACCTACCAGCACAGAACTCCCGACAAGGTATTTCTATTGCAGACAGTCAAGAAGCCAACATGGAATATATTCCCGGCAGAAAACATAAATATCACTTTTAATGTGGAAGAAATTATTCTAAAACAAGTTATAGTGAATTACACGACTGAAGTACTTTACCCTCTATTGGGACAAGGTACTGCACCAAAAGTCAACTTCACATTTTAGGGAGAAATTGAGAAGGACTCAGATAAAGAAGGTAATGTATTTCTCCATACTCAAGTCTTTGAAGAAACCACTAGAAGCACAAAATATGCCAGACAGTTTTGGAAATGAATCCCCAGAAATGAAGCCAATTTGACATTTAGCCTGAGTTGCATGTGGTTATATAATATGGCAGAATTTTACTCAGAATACATGGTGGTATAAGATGGTAAAAATTTAAACTGTCAGGCAAGTGCAAAGAAATGATGACTTTATTGAATTTTAGACTATACCGTTCTACTTCATGACCTTGTATCTCAGAAAATTGTTTCTTGGCAATGCAAGTTCTCTGGCATTCATAATATGGTGCTAAAGTAAACCACATTTGCCAAAGGAAGCATGCTTGGAATAATCCAAGACCTTAATTCTGGTATGAAGTGACAACCTGCTTACTAATGATGCCTATGCCACTCTTTATTTGTATCCAGTTTAAGGAGCCAATTCAATTCCGAAGTGTCACTTTGTATAAATGCCTTGATTCCAGTGTAATTATATAGATTCCATAATGAAAAGTATCACTGTGTGAAAACATCTTAATTACACTGTAGTCCTATATATGTTGTTGTTAAGTGCTGTTGAGTCGGTTCCGACCCATAGCGACCCTGTATAGGGTTTCCTAGGAGCAGCTGGTGAGTTTGAACCGCCGACCTTGCAGTTCAAACGGCTTTGCAGTCTGGTGCATTAACCCACAACACCACTCTATAATAAAAAGCTACAATTGCCCTCGCCCCCAATCTCATCATTTCTCTAGTCTAGTTCATTACTTTAGTTGAATATATATTTATTCAAAATTCAAGATTGTTATCAATAAATTTGTTAGTTTTGTTTGAAGATTTATGTCATTTTAAAATTTAAGATAGCATGGAACAAATACATGCCTCATTTCATTAATTTCATAAATTAGAATATTAAAAGTACTTATGTAATTAAAGATCTTTGGTTCTAACCATAATGAATTGTGAGTCATTTAAAGGTTATTTCTAATTAAATTACTACTTCATTTTTAAGAAGCACATTTGATTCTAATGTTGTTACTATTTTTTAATTGATAGCTATCTTTATATCATTTTCTTCTAGTTCAGGCCCATGAAATTCACCAGAAAATTCTGACAACTGATGTTGATTTTGAAAATACAGATGACTTGGAAGTTGTGTCAAATAGAAAACAAAATGATCATCAGAATGAAGCTCAGGAAGAATTTTACTTATCTGTTGGCCCCTCTTCTGTTGTTTTGGATGCAGAGACATCTTTATCGCAGAATGCTGTTCTGTCGATTGCCCAAAAGAGTGATGCTTATACTTTGGAAAATTCTGTAAATATGCCGTCTTCAAGTAAAGAGATTTCTTTTAAAACCAAGAAAAGGTAACTTTGTATTTAAATATTAATTGTTTAAAAATGTAATCTTTTCTATTGTAGAGTTAGTCATTCAGGCTTTTAATGTAGTTTTACATTAAGAATTAAGGAATTTTAAGATGTTTTAATAAAACAATAATATACATTCAGGATATAATCTGCTCATATTTTATAAGGCATTAAAGAGTACTTCAGACAAGTTTGGAGGTAAATTTTTCTATCGACTGGGAAAATGCTACCACACGTCTGTCAGTTTGTCATACTGTAGTGGCTTGTGAATTGCTATGATTCTGGAAGCTGTGCCACCGGTATTTTAAATACCAGCAGGGTCACCCATGGTGGACAGGTTACAGATGAGCTACCAGACGAAGACAGACTAGGAAGAATGAGTGATGAACTACTTCTGAATATTTAGTCACTTAAAACCTTATGAATAGCAGAGAAACACTGTCAGATATAGTGCCAGAAAATGAGCCCGTGAGGTTGGAAGGCACTCAAAATGCGACTGGGGAAGAGCTGCCTCCTCAAAGTAGAGTTGACCATGATGAAGTGAATGGAGTAAAGCCTGTGGGAATAAAGCCCTTGGGACCTTCATTTGCTGATGGGGCACATCTCAAAATGAAGAGAAACAGCTGTAAACATCCATTAATAATCAGAACATAGAATGTACAAAGTATGAATCTAGAAAAATTAGAAATTGTCAAAAATGGAATGGAATGCGTAAACATCGATATCCTAAGCATTAGTGAGCTGAAATGGACTAGTATTGGCCACTTTGAATCAGACAACCACATGATTTACTATGCTAAGAATGACAAATTGAAGAGGAATGATGTTGCAGTCATTGTCAAAAAGAACATATCCAGGTCAGTCAAGAAGTACAACACTGTATGTGATAGGATAATATCCATGCGCCTACAGGCAAGCCCAGTTAATACCACAATTATTCAAATTTACGCACCAACCACTAGAGCCAGTGAGGATGAAATAGAAGAATTCTACCAACTTCTTCAATCTGAAATTGATCAAACATGTAATAAAGATGTATTGATCATTGCTGGTGATTGGAATGCAAAAGTTGGGAGCAAAGAGGAAGGATCAGTAGTTAGAAAATATGGCATTGATGATAGAAATGATGCTGGAGATGGTATGATAGAATTCTGCAAAACCAATGATTTGTTCATTTCAAATACCTTCTTTAGTCAGCATCAGAAATGCCTGTACACGTGGACCTCGCCTATGAAATACATAGAAATTAAATTGACTACATCTGTGGAAAGAGACGATGAAAAAGTTCCATATCATCAGTGAAAACAAGGCCAGAGGCAGACTGTGGAACAGACCATCAATTGCTCATATGCAAAATCAAATTGAAGCTGAAGAAAATGAAGACAAATCCATGAGAAACAAAATATGACCTTGAATATATCCCACTTGAATTTAGAGATCATCTGAGAAACAGATTTGATACATTAAATACTAAAGACTGAAGACCAGAAGAGTTGTGGGATGACATTAAGAACATCATACAGGTAGAAACCAAAAACTCAGTAAGAATGAAAAGGTCAAAATGGATATCAGAAGAGACACTGGAACTTGCTCTTCAGCATAGAGATGCTAAAGCAAATGGAAGACCTGAGATACAAGAGCTGAACAGAAAATTTCAAAGATCAGCTTGAGAAGATAAAGCCAAATATTACAATAAAATGTGTAAAGATCAGGTGACAGAAAACCAAAAAGAAGAACACACTCAGCATTTCTCAAGCTAGGGGAACTGAAGAAAAAATTCAAACCTTGAGTTTCGTTGTTGAAGGATGCAGAAAGCATCAAAAGAAGATGGAAGGAATACACAGAGTCACTGTACCAAAAGGAAATGGTTGATGTTCAAGAGCCAGTGATACTGAAGGAAGAAGTCCAAGGTGTTGAAGGAATTGGCAAAGAACAAGGCACCAGGAATTGATGTTAAAAATTGAAATCTTTCAAGAAAGATCTTTCATTCATCTATGCCAAGAAATTTG